GTTACGGTGGCCAATTTACCATTTCAACTTTGTTAATATATCCAAATTATTTCGTTACCCCCATCGACGCAGCCCCAAACAGTTTCTTTCGAAACTATCAGCCTTTAAAAAATCCTGTATTTGAGCGACTGAAAATTTCTATCTCAAAATGGATGTAATCAAGTGGTAACTGAACTTCGTGTCGTGCAATTAAAGTCTGCAATTGTACCTTTGATTTCAAATTACGCGTATGATTTCAGAGCAAATTGTATTCCACACATGCACTTCAAATACCATTTTTTATAAATATGTCATCACTGGACCAAGATGGCACGCAACATAGAACCCTTTTAAGCCACTCTGAGCCTTGCCTATGTTATTGTGTCCTTTGTTTTTCTTGCTCGACCCAAAGCAATAAAGGAGTACACGGCTTCCTCTCACAGTTAACTTTTTTTTTTTTTGCCACCTTTAATTAAAATTGATCAAACTAGGCAACAATAAAATAGAACTAGATTAAAACAAAACAAAACAAAACAGCAATTTATTTAAGATTAGAAATATGGCTAAGTACATTGGTTTCTCCCCGCAAATAGCTTATGAACTAATCGAGGCGGGGAGATCTAAGGACAGTTTACAAGTACAGGATTTATCTATGGACTAACAATGAAAACACTACTCAGCAGTAAAACATAAAGCATAAAACATAAAACATAAGCATAAACATAAGCATAAAACAGAGCAAGTATATTGAGATTACGAAAAGAGGCTAACCTAAAGTATTAAATAACTTAATAAGACCGGAGACTTCGACATAATCATCTTCTGACCGTAAAAAAATTTAGTAGTAACTCCTTTATCTTTTTACGAAAAGACGAACGTTTGACTGAGTTGTTTAATCCGCGAATAGGGGATAGAGTTCCAAATTTGGGCACCAATTCTCGAGAAAGAAGCATACATTTTATCTTTTCTAGAGAATTCGACAAAATACGAGTCACTAGAGACTGATCTTGTTCTGTAGTTATGCCGAATCTGACTTGTTTTCAGTAAACTGATTGAGTATACTAACTGGTGCTGTCTGTCTGTTGATATCATACAATAAGTAGCTACAATCTTTGAAAAATTGGCTAGGTTGGGGAAGACAATTCGATTTGAGAAAGGAGGGTACGGTGTACTCCTTAGACTTACTGAAATGAATAAGACGTAAGGCCCGTTTTTGTAGAATTACGATCTTATTTTGAAATGTCACGGCACAATTTCCCCAAGCACAAATACCATAAGTTAAATAAAGGACAATTAGGGAATTGTAAACTGAAAGTAAGACACGACGCGGGACATAATGTCGAATCTTGGTAATAATTCCTATTGACTTGCTAATTTTGTGGCCGATAGATTCTATATGGTATTTCCATGAAAGATTTGAATCAATCATAAGCCGAGATATATATTTTTACATAGTCTTTCATTTCAAGGTTTGCATAGGTATAAGTCACAGAGTCAAAAATTCTAATCCTAGGTATAAAAGGCATATTTTTTTGTCGGGGACGAAAGTTTTTGTCAAGAACGACAGTTCTTGACAAAAGCACCAGACTGACATGACTGACAGACTAATAATATACGAGCCACGATTGAAAAGGCCACGAGATAAGCAGGCTAGAGAGAAGTCTACGATCCTAACCAAAACAGTGAGGAACAAAACCCTCAATCTTCTAATATCATCCCCAAGAAGGTGATCATTTCTTTTATTACACGACTCGGGCAGTCAGAGGGCCAATAACTAAAATCAACCAATCAAAATGCTCTATTGCCGGTCGATATTCTCTCAGTATTGGACCGGGTACTGTCCCAAATGGTCCCGAATGATACCGCACTTGTGTCCCTTTGAACTTCAGTCGTATTATAAATCTCTTATTAACCAAGCTTGCTCGGGACCGTACTGGAAGAATATCGGCGCTCGGTCCTTACTGTCAAGACCTCGGGCCGATATTCTCCCAGTACGGCCCTCGCGCTTGGTTAATAAGATATATTTATTCTCGTGACGTCAGTTAATTGTGTTATTCAGGGGGGGTGATATTTAAAGAGAAATTAGACATTTGCATATATTGTTGTTATGTCATCAGTATACATGTAATTTTTATTTTTCAGCCGAAAGAAACGAAGTCATACACACGCCCACGCACAGAGCGCAAAAACAGTCCTGGATACGCGCCTAGGCCTTTATAGATTTAGCATAATTTTTGGTATAATTTGAGCAAACTGGCATAATTTCTGCCAAGTAGCAATGCTAGCATAATTCGCATATTTTGATAATTATCGGATCATTTTTGATTCTACAATTTGATCATTGTTCATCTCTACTCCCAAGCACTTGGTGACGTTGTTCGATGTTTTAAGTTTTAGTTCAGGTAGTAGCATTTGTAGTTCACTGTGAATCACTGAGCGGCGTGTGAAACGGTCTGAGCCCAGGTCTGGGGTGCACCGGAAACGGAAGTTACATTGTAGGCCATGTATAGTCTAGTACTAGTATGCATGTTAACATGAACCACATGTTTATTTAAATTTCATCGTGGATTTGTTTCGTTCTTTCTTGTAGACCAACGGCTTCTAATTAAAAAATGTATTTTTTGGACTTATATGCAATTTTCTCAAAGAGCATAATTTTAAAAAAGGGGCATAATTTGGAAAAACGAGCATAATTTTAGCATAATTTCGCCAAAAAAAGGCAATACTACTAGCATAATATGCTACTTTTACTAGCATAACTTATAAAAGCCAAAACGCGCCTCGGTCGTCCTGTCAACAACGAAAAGATTCCTGGGAAAGGGGACAGGTGTCAAATTTTGAACGAGACCGCGGTGAAGTAACTTGGGCCAGCGGAATGATGATCTGAACATGGCGCCGATCCTTGGGTCGGTCGCCCAAGTTTTACGGTAAAAAATTTCAGTTTTACATTTTGAATTTTGTTAAATAATACTTATAAAAATTATGCTTAAATATTCATTGTTTTATCGTGCCACTTTTGTTTTCAACAGGCAAGCGGAAACTTTGAAAGCCGCTTTGAAAAGTAAGTTTTGTATATGCGGAAAACAGTTGCAATTTTTTTATAATTTGTTTTCCTTTTTTGTTTACAATTAGAGCTAAGAGGTTTTTTTTTAAGAGCTTGCGTTACGGATTTTAAAATATGAGAACTCTATTTCTTGAATTTAATATTCGAGTGTTATCGTATTCTTTACGTTACTCTGTGAGTTTGAGCGTCTTAAGGCTCGAAACAAACTTGATATCTTTTGGTTTTGTATTAATAACCCCAGTGAGGTGTCTGTGAGTTTCTTTAAAAGTTCTCAACTCAAAGAGGATAATGATAACTATAAAAACAAGTAGGAAATGAAATAATGATCCGATGTGTTTAAGTAACTTTTAGTACAAAACAAAGTGACAACTTTTTTATCGTCAAGTCACTAAACAATTATTTTGTGTGCAGTTGGGTTATGCTCTAAGCTTGACCGTCAGCTGTTTGAGCTCTCAAGGAATTTGTTGGTTTCGTCCGTGCTACCTCCTTCATATGAGGCATTAATTTATCTCGTGTAGACCTTGCGGAAAGTACTTCCACTTCAGTTTGGGTTTTATCTTGGCTCAGTTATTTTTTGGATAATACGCCTTATTTCCCTCTGCCAGAAGTTTCCGGCAAGAATTCCGTATAACCCCATACTTGATTATGCATTCAATTCTTGGATAAAGGAAAGCAGAGGCAAAACAACAGATTTCCTTTGGGACTACGGCTTTGTTTTTGATTGGTATGGGGTTTTACGGAAATCTTTCCCATTTAATAATCACAGATATGAAAGACAGCTAACTTACGCGAGTTATTTTTCTTCAGGCAGTGTTGAAGATTTTATTGTTGGCAGCGAAGGGTGGCAGTCTAGGCAAAGGTAATTTTAAAAACAATTTCACCTTAAGCTAGAACGAAATTTTGTTGTTGGAACTGGCAATGTAATGGGCTGCTTAAACAAAGATACCTTGTCATCATGGCTATTTTTTAATGTAATTCTACATGTGAATAGGCCAGTTCCATTACTTGCAGTATATTTTAACAGTGAAATTAATATGCACATCAACAATGTGTAGAATAAGCCAACAGCTCTTAGATGTAAGATGTCAAAAATGAAGTTTGGAAGATTGATGCATTGATTGATTGATTGACTGACTGACTCTAGACACCCTTCTGTCCCTTCAGAAATAATTTAAGATTAATTTTTTTTCCTAATCTTTGCCAAAGTTTTTGGAAAATTTCCAGTGGCCCAGAAAAATCTCTAGTGGCCCCAAATTTTCTTCATGTCACACAAAGGGGTACTACTTGGGGAGACCAGACATTTTGAATTCATTTTCTAACCTGTTAATACAAATATGTTGTCAATCATAGATTGAAGTTTCATAAATTAAGGGTAGAAGGAAATTTCTAATTACGATAACTATTTCATCAGATGGTTTTTTTTTTTTTTTTGCCAGACTGCAGGATTTGTATAAAAGTATCCTGTTGACAGACCTTGAGTCTGCGTTGGACAAGAAGGTGGAGCAAGACCTGTAAGTTCTTTGTGAAATTCTTATAACTAATATTTCTTTCATGTTTTCAAAATGCAAGTATTAATTGCCAATTCAAATGATGTAGCAAATGATTTATTTCATTATTTTGTTTATCTCCAAGAGCCACTCAACATCTAACACTAACAGTTTTATTTCTCTATAGGTTACTAAAATAAATCGTTTTCAAGCTTTGTAGATATTCAAGATTAACAATTTGAACTAAACTAATTTATGTTATCCTTGAATTTTTAGGTGGAACAGTGCTTTTAAAAGCCAGGTTGACTTTTTAAGGCATCAAACAAAGGAAAGGAAGGTAGGTCCATGTAATTACAGTATAAATTTCACCTTTTTGATTTTGGGAAGTGATTGTTAAGACTTTATTACACATTGATCACAATACATATTAGTTAGCCCTTTAAAGACGCAAGAGAATTTCATACACAGAACACTGGAAATATTTGTGAAATATTGCTATAAGCAAGATCAAAACAAACTGAATGACCTGCATGTCCCTACCTACAATAATTGTGACTGTTCTTAACACATAAAACATTCCCACAGTCAGGGTTATCAAAAATATAGATTTTAAGTGACTAGACTGTGATACAAAGTAGGCAGCCAATGCCATGCTTTGAAGCTGAAAATTGAGCCACAAGCATTTAGAATGGCCAGTGCATTTTTCAGAGGTGATGGTGAAATGCCCTGGTTACCACAGTGTTGAAAATTTTCACTGGTTTTTGAAGCTTAAGTCTTAATATTTTATACAAAAAAAAACAAGTTATGGGAGTCAAAGATGTTTGCTTGACACAATACCAAACTCTCTCACATAATTCTCTAGGAAATTTATAGCTATAAGATGGGAGAATGTTTAATAAAATCAAAGCAGATAAAATTCTTTGATCCATTTCTTGTTATGAATGATGTTAATTTGAAAATGAATGCTGAATGTTAGGGCCCAAAAAAAGTGGAGGTCCAGGCGGTTTTAACCCTGTTTCTTGAAGCTGCTAGTGGCTTCTATATTCAGGTATGTAAAGAATTAATTATTTTGTGGCTCTTTTCCAGTAATTTCTAATGCAGCAAAAACATTTTTCTTGGTATATGTCAGTTATATTTTTTTTGGAATATGTAGTTATTTATAACATAACCAAAGTAAAGTGCGCGCTCTGATTGGTCAATTTAGTGTCCCCCATTTGCCCATGGGTGTATACTGCTGATGTGAGCAAATGCAAAGACTATTTTTACACGCACGCTTGTTGTTTCTGGTCGCGTAAGATTTGTTAAATAAAAGGGAACTCTTTAGCTACAGTGTATCAATGTTATGTCAAAAAACAAATGGTAAACACCACATCGTACACTATTGAGTTATGGATGCACTTGGGAGGTTTGCTAAGCACTCAAGAAGCTAGAGCCGCTCTCGGCTATCGCCTCGAGCGACTCTTACGCTTCTTTCATGCTTAGCAACCTCCCACGTGCATCCATAACTCAATAGTGTACGCTGTGGTGTTTACCATTTGTTAATTCCGAAACATGCATGACATTATCATGTAAATGGGAAATGATTGGGATGATTTTGAACATCACAGTTCTACATGACTGAATGTTAATTCTGTGTTTTTCTTCATAGCTGTTGCAGGAGTTGTGCCTGACATACAGGCTAGACATTCCTGGTCATGTCAGGTCATCACAGTTGGGTATTCTTGAAGGTAGGACTTGTGTAAAATGTCTGCTTCTGAGACTGGCTCACACAGCTGCTGCTGCAGCTCATTCTGATTTCCTCAGCAAGAAGTGGCTCCTTAGCAATTGGGTCACCATTCTATTCCAGACCTTTCCAAGCATTTCATATTAAGGCAGCCATTTACACACTTTCGTTGGTTTGGGTCTATTACCTTTTCCTTTGTGAGTGGAGAGAAGCATCAAAAGGCCTTACTAGTATCTGATTTCTTCTTACAATAATTATCATCTTTTAATCAAACAGTAAGGTCACAAGAATGCAAGAAATGGTTGCCAACCATAAAGAAGCTATTGATTGTCAATGAAACAACTCTTGTGAACATTACCAAAGTTAAGGCCGAAAGAGAAGTGTCGAGAAAATGAATACCAATGTTAGAGTGTAAAGGATTGATATCTTGCCCAAGACTCTCTGACCCAAGCCAGGGTCCAAATATGGACCCAGCCTCTACATCTGTTGTCCATCACACCAACCATTAGTGCAAAGTGTGTTACTCTATGTCTGAAATTTTTCTTTGGTACTTTCATTCCAGAAATCAATGGAAACAGTAGTCCAGTGAAGAAGCCTCACACTCAGTCTTGCTATTACATCTGCCAAGACTGTCTTGTCCACTTAGGAGATATTGGTAAATTTCCTGATCAAAATTGTGCCTTTTGGACTTATTATACACCATTTTGATTTGAACTCAATCACTTACTGACAGAAGTGATGTGATGTTGATTCCATAAAACCAAGTATACTTTCCAGATATATATGGTTGCCAGACTTGAACATTCTTGAATTGGTAATCCAAGCCAAATATTTCAAAGGAAGCAAGGTTTTATTGGCACATTTTGGGATAATGTAATGTACCTGTAATGTGCATAATAATAATTTAATCATTTCTATATTTTAACCCCATTTACCACTGATCTGCAAGACCAGGGAACTTTGCAGCACAGGAGACTGATTGTATTTAGTGGAAAGGCTCAATTTTTTTTGTAGATGTGATACTGAGACACCTTTTGTTTTCCTTTTTTTAAATGACTCCTTCTGGCTGGCTTAATTGGTTTTTTTTTTTTTTTTGGGGAATTAAACATTTTATTTCTTCTCTCTCTCTTGTGCAGCTCGTTATTGTGATGACCCTGAGCAGGCTGAAGTGTTTTACCATCATGCACTTGTATTAGTACCATCAAATGGTAAATGAAAACATATGCTCTTTAGAATTGGTTCTAATTGAAAAGATGGAAGACTTACTTAAAAGGTCATGTAAATAAGTGGATGGAAGCTACAGTATATACATTACCAACAGTGAATTGACACTATCAGCAACTCAGCTGTTTCAAATTGTTTTATAAAATGCATTTGTGTCTGACGTGTTACTTAATAAATATTTACCAGGTCAACCATACAACCAGCTGGCCATTCTAGCAAGTGGTAAAGGAGATGAGCTGGCCACTGTTTATTACTACTGTAGGAGGTAATTATAAGCTACCGGTATATGTGGAATCAATATTTAATGTAATACATATATATAGATATCAGTGATAGTGACCTTTTAGAGTCTGTTATTTAGTTGATTTTTTGTCTCATTACGATGATGGTAATTATTGCGTTAATATAATCCTAACAACAATATTGACAGTACATTAATTGTAATCATGGTAATTAATAACACTGATTAAAAGTAATCCTAAAGGCAATTTTGACAATAGTTATACTTAATTGACCATTCCTCTGTCTGTCCTTTCATTGAACCATACAGTGAACAAAAACACTGTTTAACAACTATTTTAAATGAAAATAACGTGGTTGAAGCTCCAAATCCCTCATGGCAGGATCGAGGCCGACCAGAAGGTGAAGGACATGAATGATCGACCAGCATTTTGCAATTTATCCTGTACTAGCTGTGTTTAAATAATATTTTTTCAGCATTGCTGTTAAGAACCCATTCCCAGCTGCTTCAACAAATCTTCACAAAACACTGAGCAAAGTGGTGGCAAGGCATAATACAAGGTAAGGGAAGTGGTAAATGTTTCATGAAAGAGTTTTGTATTGATTTTATTTACTATGTATGCTGAAATAGTCATTAAAATTATTGTTGCACAGAACATTTCAGTCTATGATAGATAATAGTGACTAAATATCAACGAATCAAAAGTCGATGCATTGAATTTCATCTGATGTCAAATGTGAACTGAAAAATGTTGAATTTAAACTTTACATGTTCACAGCTTACAGTAGATTTTTATGTGTGGTCAATTTGCATTATCTTTTTTTTTAGAGATGGCATTGCAGACATATCTAAGGCAGAGTTTAACCATATTTTCCTTCAATTTCATGGCCTTATGTATCTTGCTCAAGGTAGAGAATTTTTTTTTCTCCGTTTCCTTGAAAAGTAATATAATTGTTCCCATGTCATACCCTTGGGAACACAGGGCAATGTAGGTAATGTTAATGTTAAGTTGTATTTAACAAATGGTAAACACCACAGCGTACACTATTGAGTTATGGATGCACGCGGGAGGTTGCTAAGCACGAAAGAAGCGTAAGAGTCGCGCGAGGCGATAGCCGAGAGCGACTCTAGCTTCTTGTGAGTGCTTAGCAAACCTCCCAAGTGCATCCATAACTCAATAGTGTATGCTGTGGTGTTTACCATTTGTTTTATAACATAACACTGATACATTGTAGCAAAAGAGTTCCCTTTTATTTAACAAATCTTATGTGACCAGAAATAAACAAGTGCGCGCAGAAAAATAGTCTTTGCATTTGCTCACGTCAGCAGCGTACACCCATGGGCAAATGGAGGATGCTGAATTGACCAATCAGATCGCACGCTTTGCTTTCGTTATGTTATTATTATGGGTATTTAACTTAACGCAGTGTTATCAATTCACCCATCACGTTTTCATGATTTTGTGCCTAACAGATTTTGATCAAGCAAGAGTTCTGAAAGATCGAGTTGTTGCTGCATTTAAAGTGAGTGAGTTAACTGAAATGTTTTTTAAAAAAATATATGAAATGATTAAATTTATTTCTTCCTTTATAGTCTTTAAGACTGTCTCTATGCATCCTTCAGATTTATTTAATATTTACTAGTTATTTGTTTTTATATCCAGGGGATCTTGAAGGAGGACAAATTTACCTCTGAGTTCCTTACCAAATTGGTAACAATCACAGTATTTGTTTTGTGGCACATCAGAACAGGAGGGGGAGATGATCTGGAGGACTTTGATTGCATTGGCAAAGATGAAGAGGTTTACAGAATGATTAGTTTGATGTGACTTATATTCTTAGAAAAATGATAGTCTATCTTGGCTGATTTGTTGAAGAAAAAATTGAAATATTATTTTTCAAAAATAGACACTCAGATAATAATTATAGAATACAAAAAGAATTCAGGGCATACATGTCTGACGTATCCTCTCAAGTGGACAAATGTTCAAAAAGCAGATCACACTGTTGTTTAGTAAATAAATGTTTTGCCATTTATCAGGTCATATTCGAATGCTAAGAATAAAATTTTCCTGTTTCTGTATGTACATGCATGCTCTGTTGATACATGAATGTAAAATGGTAACATTGTGAAAGATGGCTGCAATGGGCTGAAAATGGATTGTATGAGTTGATTCATGTTTTGCTCTTCTTTTTTCCATCTAGGAGTGCTGGCAAATGACTCTGGAGTTCACAGGTATCTATCAGTAGATGCTCATTGTATTTATCCCGGTTCAAAAAGACAAATGGATATGAAGTCCCTCTTAATCAAAGCTACCACTCCAAATTTTTCTGTAGTATATACATTGTGAATTTTTTGTTTATGATGTTGCATTAAAGAAAATTGATTTTGTTAAAAAATCCAGCCTAATGGTTGTTTGACAACTAGGCTACGAAATGAAAACTTTAATAGGTACTCCCCAAGGGGCTTTTCAGCATCTATAAATACATAGCTTCATTAGATTAATAATATCAAAAACTAATGACTATTTACATTGGTATAACTAATTATATCAAAACTAATAACTGTTTGCAAGAGTGTGACTCTTAATAGAATCTGTAGAGCTTCACAATTTCATGTCCTACGATTATGAATGTCCGATCTCTTAACAAACTTATCACTCAAGTAACTAGGGGCAAGATGGTTCATGCATTTATAAGTCATGATTACTTAGTTACACTGTGCACAAGATGGATGTGATTTGATGTGGTGTGAGCATGCCACTGTCACTGTTTTGCCTGGTTTGATCCCTGGACCTGGGCTCACATTAGAGGAGAGATTAATTTTTGTTCTCATCCATGTTCTAAAGGTTTTCTTGTCAACTAGTGTTCATCCTTCTACAAAACCAACACTCTAAATGCCCTAAAGTTTATGTCTTAAACCTCACACTAACACTGATTCCTCCTTGAACATGTAGGGCAAAATGAACAGAAAAAATGTGGTTTTGACTAACTCGAGGCTCCTGAAAAGTGCAGATTTCATGTGCGCTAAAACATTTACCTAAATGAAGGGTGTGACTGACCAATTTTTATTGTTCTTCCAGTGGAGCTATTTGATACCCTTGTTCTTCATGTGTGTGAAAATTACCCATACAAGGAACAGTCTGCAGCAGAATGTCATGTGCTGCCAGCTTTGAACCTGTTATGCCAGTGGATGATGGGCTCATCTCCTAACACCTGGAATGGACAGCTGCTCAAGAAGACCAAGTAAGTTATTTTGTGGAGGGGGCGTTTAGCTTCTTCACCTTGTACATTTGGTGGTGGTGTTAAGACTATTCTACTGCTTGACTGATCCACCATTAAAAAAGTATATAATCTACAATTATGATACCATTTGAATTTTTTTTTTTCATTTAATTTTCAACAATTTTCATCTCTTGGCTAGTTGTTTCTTAGTACAATTAGTGACGTCACTTATGTTCAGCTTGATTTGTGCTTTTGTATTGACAAAAAAAGAAACACTTCCTTTTCAGTAGAAGGTTTGTATGATTTACCATCATGTCTGTTGAATTCTGGTAGAAATTATATTCACATGACTGTTAAATTCTTAGGGTGTGGGAGGACTTTGCAGCATTGTTAAACTTGTTTCAAGTGACACACCCTCATCTTCCAGAGAAAATGGGTGAGTTTTCAGCTATTTAACTAGCGCATTTTTTGTTTTATAATGGAAACCCAATCCATGAGTTAGAGCACTTTTTGATGAAGTTTCCAGAGTAATAAGAACAAAGGGAAATACGGGAAGAAGCCCTTGAGAATTCAAAGTTAACACCCCTCAGAATCGGCTTCAAGTGTGGTTAAACAGGAATATCCCTGTCATGATTGACCTGAGCCTTTCATCTGATTGGTTGAAGAAGTCCTACTAGATCAATTAGAAAGCTTAGTGGAACAAACCTTGTGTTGCTTTGGATTTCTTTTGACACTCAATAGCGTGAATATTTTAAAAAATTTATAAAGAACGCGGTTTCTAGCTGCGATTGGCAGGGAACTCATCTGACTGAAATTATATTAGTGTGAAAGTTTATGAGACTTTAGGTAATATGTAAAGTTATCGATATAAAAAATCTCTTCTAAAATTAGTTATCTGTAGTTGTGAAATTTCCCTTTATTCGCAGTAGTTGATGTTTTGTTTATAGATCTTCCTCTTCACGAAGACTGGGAACTGCAGAGCTTCCTACCTCTTAGGGTCAGTCAGAGGTATGTGTAGGACATTTCCTTGTCAAACATATGGGTTACTCATCAAATTTGAGTTCAGATTGGCTACATACCGGCCTGGAACTGAGTCAGTTTCCATCCCAACAGACAAGGGGATTACGAAATCATTACCCAGCACGAAAACGTGAATCACGATACTCATTTCGGTTTTTTGCTGTTGTTTTTTTGTTTTTTTGTTTTTTTGTTTTTTTTTTACTGCTATCAAGACCGACGGTTGTTTTGCTTTATGAATCCATTGCTGTAAATGCTGTTTTGACCCTGACTAGCATCTCATTTCTCCTAACAACATCAACCCTGAATCACACATTTAGGTCACGAGAATAAAGGAAATGATCACTAACTAATTGAGCTCTTTATCGTGGAACAAATTTTCCTTGTAAGCACTTGTAAGGAAATGTGAAAGAGAACAGGATGGAGAATATGCGTACTGGTGTTAGGGTGTACAGCGTAAGGAAGAACGTCTCCAGTTACTTCATTATCTTCATTATCTCCCCTCTATTAACTATGGATAAGGTGTTTAACTTCATAAATTTACAAATTCATCAAATTTAAGTGTTTTAGTTCTCAAAGCTTACGTCCGACTTGTAGTTCAGAATATCGCGAGAGTTCCTCGTAGAACTTTCAAGTTCTCTGGAAATTGTAACGACAAAAACAGATTGATACAGTTCGTTTCGTTCTTTCGTTTGTAGGAAACTAACTTACAGTATGAAGAGGACAAGACCTGAAGATGAGTCTGTGCATAGAGTTGGTAGGCTGCTCAGGTTTGGAAATCGTCTGGTTAATAACGCCCCTCGGTAAGAATTAGAGCTTTTCGGTAAGATGATCATTGAGCGTGTTTCGATTATGTGTCGTAAATGCAAAGCCATAGTAATCAAATTGGACAAATAGAACTCAAGGAAATGAAACTCACAAGAAAACCTTACAATATCAATACAATATCAAGCATACAGGTGATGAGATTAAAGAAAAATATCAATAATGGGATTATCAGTTGATCCAATACCAAATCCTCAGAACTAACATCATAAGAATTGTGTGGAAGTAAGTAAGGAGAATTACTAATCAGATCATGGAAGTGAAAGGGTTAAAGTACGCTCTCAGTATCTTAGCAGCTGAATTTCATTCTTTTGTTGTGTTTTGTGTTTTTGTTATTTTTAGTGTGTTGTCTAAATTGGAGGATCTCACAACTGGCTTGTCTAACTTCTCCCTGAAGATAAACACTTCATCACCCATCGAAGAGGTAGGTACTCAGGTCATGTATCTTCAGTTCAATTATGGTTTGAATTGTGCGGAACGGCTCAATGAAGACAGAGTTTCTTTGTTTCATCGTAGGAAGAGAAGTTTCCAAAGTCACCCCAAGACATTGATTTAGAGTCTGCTGGGCAAAAGCTTCTGGCTTCTTTGCCCAACCTGAACAAGGTATGGGACTTGTACAAGCGCAGAGGTGAATTTTCTCTCGAAGACCATTATTTGTAAATGTGCCTTATGCAGTTTTCTTTTGGATAATAAAGAAAGTTACTGCATGTTAACAATTCACTTACTAAATGGATGATCAATTTCAGCACTGTAGAGATTTTTTAACTGACTTTTTCAGAGAAATACGTTTTAAGGTTAAAAATAAATCGCATCAAATATTACTTTTTTTTACTATGACAACCGCTTTGTAGCGGTAACTTTTGATTGGTAATTTGAATAACTTTTTATTTCCAGACGACCCCAGCAGGGACACCCTTCGCTGAAACAAGGTAGGAGTATCTTTAAACATCCGAAACGTAGTATCTCAATCAGTTCTACACTGTTTACGATATTTCCATATTTGTCGATAAGAGGGGATCGAAGTAACTAAGAAACTGAACGAACCCCAGCGTCCATGCAACTAGTCCTGTTGCGCGAGTTATGCTCATACAGACATCCCCGGCAGGTCTATTTTCTCTCGAGCCGAACATTTACGCATCACGGGAGGTACACTTAATATTATTTGTGAGAGACTAGATATCATTCAGTGGAATGGGGCCTAAATAGGAATTCATGTGATAGTTAAGGGGTATCTATCTCATGGTGTAGTCGTAAGGTGTATCGCCCATTTCACACCAGCTAAGAAGACTCTGAAAGACCTTACCGCGAGAGTCAAGTAAACTTGGAAATTACTTGTCGCCTAGCATTTAGAATTAAATTGTGTTGAAAAGAGTCGTTTAGAGATGCAGTGTTGTTGTGCTACAGTCAAATGACCTTTGCCTTCTGTCAAAACGGTTTAGCGTCAAGTGATATTTAGGACTGTAGTTATAAATTAATTTTTTACCACAATTGATTCTAATGTCGCAATCTGATTGGCCCATTTGCCGTTGTCGATAAGAGTACAGACCACGTTTAACCAGTGCTGCTTTGTTTAGTTGCGTGATGCTTCACACGTATTTGCTTCTTGTTTCAATCAACAGCTCCTTGTTCAAGGGCCCATTAGATGTAGTTCAGACTTCAGCGGGAATTGTTCCACCCTCTCCCTCCACAGTAGCGCAGTACTCACTGTTCCAGTCGGGGTGGAACGTACCCTTGACTTCTGCGGCTCTGTCTCAACCAGGTATAACCTTTTCTTCTTGTAAGATTGAAAGATTTTCAAGGTAGCAGGTGTTGTGAATCGACCAATTCATCAAAACAATGGTGTTATTCTGATGAAACAATAACTCCTCCTTACAGTAAAATTGACCGTAGCCACAAGGAAGGGTTTTTTTTTTTATCAGATTTCAGGAGAGAATTGGATGAATAAATAGAATCGGCTGGAATTTTCGATAATTTTTTAAATCCTCGTATCTCGTTGGTTTCCCCACCATCCTTTGTCTGCGGGTAAATTACGAGAGGAATTAAGAAAATCTATTCAATTATTAAATAAATAATTGGACTTTTTACCACCTGCAGATCACCCTTCCCCAAGACCTGTTTCCAAGCCTTCGCATCACCGTGTATCCCCGACTGACCACTTGCCTTCGGCCACTGGAAGCAACTCGGTATTTCCACCCACTCTGCCTACTCCCCCAGTTCCTGAGAACCGCAGACCGACCAGCTTTGGAACCAGTTTCCCCCCAGCTGCGATACAGGGAAATTTCAACTCTCCTTCCCAATCCCCTTTTGGTGGATTTGGTTACGGTGGCGGATGGAGTTCTGGGGTCTGGGCACCAAATTCATCGAGTGCCAGTGGTAGTGGTGGAACAAGTCCTGGAGCACATGGATTACACGTAATGTTTTTTTTTGTTGTTGTTGTTCCGTTGTAAAATGTGTTGTTTGTACGAGTGAGATTTCTTGAGATGACGGTTTTTCTTTGGGCGAACGGTCTGTGACCTCGAAAAGTTTGATTGAAGCTCGTTGTGGTTGTTGTTTTTGTTGTTGAGATAAACAAATGAAATGTGTTTCTCCTCCCAGGCACACAAAATGATATGGTTATGCCACCATCATGCTTGATTATATTGAGACCCATTGGTTAATTAAGGAGTGGTCTTGTAACTTTTTGTTTTCTTGTGGCTCTTTGTCTGTGGCTCAACTCCCTCGCTGGGCTATGTTAAAAGCCAACAAGTCTACCTTCCTATGGCTTATACTCTACGAAATTAAATGCACTGAACGATGTTACTCTACACAACCCCTCAAGCTTAATTTTTTACACTATAGACCCAAACTTGAGAGGTGAGCAAAGCTTACGATAGAAAAAAATTCCCCCACTGAAAATTGTTGTGGATTATCTGGCCATCAAAGGAAGTGTGCTGATATAAAGTTTTGTCAAATGGTGACTTATTAACTTTTTGCATTGCAGTCCATTTGGGGTTCTGACTTCACTCCTCCGTCGGAGGGCATGTCCCCTCTGCAGCAGCTGCTGCAGGAGCAGAAGAAACACCAACAGAAGGACACCTGATAATTCAGTTTAAATCCTAAGTGAGGTTCAACGTGACCAATACTAAGTGGTTTCCATGAGGGCAGCGGGTGTGGGAACACGCGTATACCCAGCTCAATTATTACTGCACTTGGAGCTTTAATACCAGTTCATTAGCAGTCACCGGGAATGCTGTGCAATACACCAGCAATAAGTGCTGAGTTCGTGAGCTCCTTAAGATTTCCCCGTCCGTCAGTGTATACCTCTGCAGTTTTTGAATCAAGAGCGTAGAAATAAGTTGAGCCCAAAAGAAAATTTCTTGAAAACTCGGCAGGGCAGAATCTTGATTTTTCCGTCGTCTCTATTAGAATAACGCAATATTGAGTAGAGAATGAGGTTCTACAGTTAGATAACAACTCTTGGACAGCTTACATCTACATAGTCACAGAATCTGTGGCTTGTAATTTAAAGTACTTTGTTGTCACTACTTTTTGTGGCTTAAACATAATGAGTAAAAAGTAATCGCGTTACAGCACATTTTGATGTAGGAAACATATATCCATGATTTAGGTTCGCTTTAAATTTTACATACCTAAGTTAAAATCCAACCTTTCTTTTCCAATTCGTCTTTGATTCCATAGATTTAAGAGGGCCCTAACCTCTAAGGTTGACGAGTACGGAATTAAAAAATAGCTACTAAACCTAATGTTTGGCGATTGTTAACGAGCGTCGGGGGAACCTGAGCTTCTTGGAATTGTTTCGTATTTGCTTAAAGGGTTAAAGCATTTTACTTTTTCTTTGAAGTAAGTTTACTCAGGTGGGCAGTATGCCTTTAGTCAGTGATATTCTCTGTATGTCGGGTTTTTAATTATCTCTAGATCACTAACTCACGGAAAACTTAAAGAAGGCAGCCATTAATTTGCTCATTAATTTATGGTTATGACGGTGTGGGTCTGGTTAGAAAATGTTAGTGGAATTGCAATCATGGAATAGTGTTCATTTTTGGGGTGTGTCGCATTTTCTTTGAGGAGCTTTAACTGTTGTGATTTCGTACATGTTGAGACGCTGACAATAAAATCTTCGGTCCTTTATTCCGTTTGCTCTGCCTCACCTTTGACCCACTATCATTATTTGATATTATGAAACTCTCCTTGCCATTGTATGGGTTGAGCTGTTCTGCCTAAATAGAGTGCGTTAATGAAAAGTCGATGAAGTAAACTTGCGGTTTCACAGTCACATTTAAGACTACAGTACGATGTGATTGAGTTTTTCCTGGTTTATTTCGAAAACAATCACATAAACTGCCTTGAACGAGCGCAGATACGCTGCTTATTACGGTTTGCTTTGAAAAAACAGTCGAAAATTATTCTATTTTGCGGCAAACTCTCTCCATTGCCTCCCCAAAAGCGGCAACTAGGCGTTAAGTAAAGTGAGCCCAGTCAGCCCACCGCCGCCCAGTTGGCCTAATGGATAGTGCGCTGGACTGTTGTGCGGAAGGTCGAGGGTTCGTGTCCCGGCCGGACCAACACTCAAGGTCTTAAAATAATTGAGAAGAATTTGCTACCTTTCTTTTACATCAAGAAATGGTTAGATATTCTAGTCTTCTAGGATAGGGACGAACAAATGGAGGTCCCGTCTCCTGCAGGATTGGGGTAGGAGACGTTGAATTCCCATAAACGAGATTACTGTG